CCTTCTCTACCCAGCCTCCTCCTGCTCCCTCAACTCTGCATTTCCAATGCATCTCCAAATCCTGCAGCTTGAGCTCCTAATTATATGTTGAACTCCTCCCAAAGTAACCTTCCTGTCAGGGGAAGCTGACCACTTTCCTCCTCCATTTGAAACCTTTCAGGGTCCCTCCACTAAGCTGGGACACAAGGCACAGTCTCTGGGTCCAGGTGCCCTAGATTCAAATCCCAGCTCCGCCACTGCCCTGTGTGACCCAGGTGAGTCAGTTATCCTCTCTGCGCCTCTGGTTCAGCACCTGTAAAATGGGCATGACAATAGCTTCCTCACAGGGTTGCTAAGAGGCTTAAATTGGGAATGGCCCAGGACAAGGTCTGGCACACAGTAACTGTTTTATACATATTTGTTAAAGTAAATCAATAACTTTCTAATTTTCCTTTCGATTTCTTCTTTGACCCATGGGCAATTTTTTCAGATGTTTCCAAATATTTGGAGGTTTTCCAGATGCCTTTTTGTTACTGATTTCTAATACTTAATTCCACTGTGGTCAGAGAACATTCTTTGCATGATTTGAATTCTGTCAAATTTATTGAGACTTATTTTATGGCCCAGAATATGGTCTATCTTGATAAATGTTCTGTACACAAAATAATTATGCTGAGGGAAAGATGCCAGTCATTTACATAATATTTTAGAAGACGCAGACTAATCATCAGTGTTGCCCTTGGGGCGGGGCTTGCGGAGCGGGAGGAAGGGAGACGGGGACAGGAGGACACTATGGATGATGGGCAGGTCACTGGCTTGTTTGCAGAGACGGTTTCACACGTGCATGCCTGTGCTGTACATACCGAACTACTTTAAACGTGTGCCGTTTATGGCATGTCAATTATACCTTATAAAGCTGCTTTTTAAAAACTGACATCGTTCAGCAAAGACCTAGGAGAAATATTCAGATCCAGTTGTATAGAAAAATTCAGGGGTTCATACTTTGTAAAGAGGCACAGTTGGCTTGGAGAAGGATGGTGTCAGTTAAAGCATGGGTGGCGGCGAGATTGTAAGCCCTGTCCCCACCATCATTGGCTGTGTGACTTTGAGCAAGCTAGTCAGCCGCTCTGTGCTTCTGTCTCCTCACCTCTACAACAGGGGTGATTGTAGTTAGGATGTGGGAAGATGCCACAAGCTAATCTCATGGAAGCCCTCAGCGCAGAGCAGGGATGGATGCTGTTGTCTTGACAGCGAGTGGGGAGCCGGGGCGACTGTGCAGGCAGCCGAGAACCACCAGGATGCCACCAGTCCTGCACTGGCGCCCACCTGCCGGGACTGGGCTCACAGCTAGACAGGGAAGGGGAGGGGCTGAGTGTGGCCCCAGAGGAAGTGGTGAACTGAGCGCAGGAAGGTGAGTGACTGGGCCAGCCCTCTGTTCCTGGCCATGTGTGTTTCAGAGATGGCCCTAAAACAGATTTCCCCAGAGCCAACCAGTGTTCCCATAGACTAGTTATAAAATTGGGGATACTCTGCTACCCAGTGTGTTCTCTGCCTGGCAAGTTTTTTTTTTTAAAGACAATTATTCAGCGTCATGATCAGACTATTACATTTAGCAATCCATAGCATGGGTACAAAAAAAAAATCTACATGAAAACCCTTTGTTGGAAGGCTGTACACTTTCCACAGAGCAGGAACTAAAATAACCTGTCACACAATGAGGCACAAATACAGACCTCGAGGTTTTCATCCATTCCCACGAGTACTGTCTAAAGCATGGCTTCTTTGTAGCAGCGAGGCCTCGCCGCCACTGTGCTTGGCTGAATTCACAAATCTGCTGTAACCTGTGACTTGCCTGTCACTTCTCTGGCTCTCTTCCTGCTAAGCTTTGTTTCGTGGCAGCAGTTAAAACCTTCTGCCACTGCCATAGCTGCTGCTGCTGGACCCACCACAGCCGCCTTGGTTTCGTGGTCTGCCCTCCACCACCACTGGGGGCCAGAGCTTCTGCCTCCCAAGTTTCCTTCTTTTAGGGTCCAAACTTTGAAGATTGATTGTTGTACGTAATTGCCAAAATCATTGTAGCTTCTGCCACCTCTGTAATGGCTTCCATCGTGACCAAACCCATGATAGCCATCCCCACTGTCACCATATCCTCCACCACCACTGTCACCAAAGCTGCCTCAACCACTGAAGTTTCCGCCAAGAGCAAAGTTGTCATTCCCACCAAGACCACCTCCTTGACCACCACCGAAGTTTCCAGAACCACTTCAACCTTTGGCTGCATGAAGCACTAGCCATCTTCAGCTTAGATAGGGCTTTCCTTCCTTCACAGCTGGGGCCATTCACAGCATGGTGTTTTTGAATGACAATCGTGCCTACAGAGTCATGGTCACATAGGTTACAAAAGCAGAGCCTCTCTTCTTGCCACAGCCTCTTTCTTGTCAGTCGTGATTTCAGTCACTCAGTTTTCCCACACTGTTCAAAGTCATCTCTTAGGCGATATTCTCCAGCGTCTTCTTCAATACCAACAGAAAGCTTTCTCGTAGTTAACTGGGCAGCAGGTCTTGGAGAATCTTTTGACACAGACCTCTGATTCTACAACTCGTCATGCCCCTGCATGGCCTTGCTTTCATGGCTGCGTTCACTCCTCCACAGTGGCATAGGTGACAGACCTAAAGCGTCTGGAGCACGTGGTGTTTGGGCTTCTCATCACCACACAGCCTGGGAGCGTTCCCCATTGCTCAGAACAGCTCCTCAGACCCTCACTGGTTGTTTCAAAGCTCAGACCTCCAATGAAGAGCTTCCGCAGCTGTTCAGGTTCTTTGGGAGATTCTGACTTACACATGACGACCACGGGAGGGGATACTTCAACGATGCTTCGGAGGCGTCCACTGATAGAAAGGAGTGATTCAACGTATCTGCCAGCCTACCTTTGGCCTCACTTTTTCATTTCCCTGGCAAGTTTTAACCCATGCTTCAGGGCCCAGCTTGGGTGGCCACTCCTGGCGGTCCATTGGCTTACCACATGCTGCCACCAGAAGGTGGCCCGGTGAACACCCCCCGCGGTTCCCCCCTACCAGCACTGAGTGTGGCAGAAAAAAACGTTTGGCTATTTTGATAGAGGAAACAGTGTCTTGTGTAATGAGCACCATTCATTTAATGCCTAGTTCCTGAGAGCCCGAGTCCAGGAGCTGGGGTGCAGTGGGCAAGAAATCGGGTCAGTGTCCTTATGGTGGAGATGAGTCCACACAAATGTATAGGTTTGTAAAGTGACAAGTGCTGGGAGGGTGTGGGGGTCCTGCTCAGGGTGGGTCTCCTGGAGGCGTCTTTGAGAACGGACGAGTGTGGCGGGGGTGTGGGAAGGGCATCCAGGAGAGAGAATGGTGTTTGCAAGGTGAAATCTAGAAGGCATACTAGGAGTCAGCAGGGAGGAGAGAGAAGCGAGGTGGAAAAAGAAACGGAGGCTGTGGAAAATCCCCTCCATGTAACAATGGTGGGGTGGGGGACAGAGCCCGAAGGGGCAGGGGGTGGCCGGTGTAGCCGAAGCAAGAGGCAGGCGGGTGCTAAATCCTGCAGTTCCCTGGGCCAGGGGACTCCATATGTGGCCCGAGGATCATTGGAGGCCTACCCAGGAGCCCCTGTCAGACCTGCATGCACTCTGACCATGGTGTGGATGAAGTTGGGACCAGGGAGACCCGAGGAGGGCCTGCACCTGCAGAGCTGGTGGGTGGAGATGGGGAGCAGGCTCGGGAGACACCGTGGAGTCCGCAGGGTCCTGCGGTCACCATGGGGGAGCCGTGGCTGATTCAGGATCATCTGTGTTGGGCCTAAACGTTTGTGGGGCGCCCGGGTGAACTTGGTGGGAGGGATGGATGGGACGGAAGGGAACCAGACGCTCTTGGATAGGTGTAGGATGTCCTGAGGACAGCAGTCTCCTATAGCCCAAGAGCTGGGAACTGGGAGGGAGAGGGAACCGGGTACAGGAGGCTGGCTGGCGAGGGGGTGCAGCGTGGGGGGCCTGGGTGATGGAGCTCTCAGTCACATCCCCCTACTATCCTCGCTGCTCTCTCTTGCAGGAACCCCAGTCTGTGTCTCTGGCTCTGAGTTGGGTCGTGTGCAGGTGTGCACTGAGCCTTTCCCCCCACTGCAGGAGGACTCTCAGGCAGCACCCTCAGGAGCTTATATTCAGGGTGTAATAGTGCGGTGCAAACTATAAACATGCAGACGAGGAATGGGACCAGAGCAGGCCGGCTCTTCAGTTCTAAAGCAACCAGCAGTCCTGGCCATGAACTCAAACTTCTTCCCAGAAGCACCACCATTTACCCTTGAGCTCACCTTCAAGCCTTGTGAGTCATCTTTGACTCATCCCTCAGCCCCCACATTCTATCAGCTGCCGAGTCTGATGGATTCTTCCTTTAAAATGTCCTTTCTCTCCATGCTCAGGGTCCCTCCCTGATCCAGGCCCTGCAGCCCCCATATCGTGGCCACCTTCAGCTGGCTCTCGCTGGATTTATCTGCCCACTTCCCAGTGCAGAAATGCCAGGGCTCCCAGGACACCAAGCCAGCAGCCCCTCTCCGGGTGGCAAACCCGTGGGCCCAGCGCATCCACCGCTGGGCCCCTTGCTTCTCCCCATCTACACGCCTGACCTCTGTCTCCCGGGCCTGGAACGGGGGCTGCAGACACCGCCAGCCTTGCCCACAACCCCGCTGTCCCGAGGAGGAGGCACCTCTGTCAGCCCTGAGCAGGTGGCCTGGAATTTAAGACTACAGCAGAGAAATTGATAGGGAAGGAGGAAGAACAGAGGAGGAAAGTGGTGGGGGCGGGGGAGGGGGCGTGCACCGAGAACCCGCAGCCCTATTCCGTGGCTTTGTTGCAGCCCCGCCCCTGCACTCAGCCCCTCCCCAGCCCAGGCTGCGGGAAAGGTCCGGTCCCGGCACAGCAGCGCCCTCTGCCTCAGGTCCGGCATCTTCACAGCGCCCTTCCGTTCGTTCACTGTGCAAAGGCTGTGGCAGCAACTCAAGGGCTTTCCGGTCTGGCCCTTGATCTTCTCTCCAGACCCTTCTCTGTCCGCTCGCTGTTGCTCCCCAAACGCGCTTAGAACCTCAGGGCAGGTCCTCCACCTTTACCACCCTTCACCTCTTCTCCAGGTCGACACTTGTTTACCAAGCTCCCCTCAACTTGGAAATCACCTCCAGTGGCCCAATTCCCTCTAGATGCCTCCTTAGCCCAGGGGGCCAAATTGAAATTAGGCTTTGTCTTCCTCACCTCTTTAGCCCCCAAAACCTGGCTCAAGACCCAGCACGTGGCAAGAGGCCTTCTCCGTGGGGAGTGAAGGATGCAGTACAGGAAGTCCTCACTTAAGTTATTGATTGGAAACTGTGACTGAAAGTAAAACAGCGCAGTATAAGGAAACCAGTGTTACCAGAGGCTAATTGATATAAACAAGAGTTAAGTTCCTTCTGCATTTTTCTGGTCATAAAAACACCACCAAGCTTCTAAATGAAGACCCAAAACACTTCTAATATTCAACACTGAAATAAACGTGAGCTATACAGACATTTAAGAAAGATAAATAAAAACAAATAAGATAAGCTTATTCCAGGTCAGGGTCACAGTTGGCTGGAGCCAGTCCCTGGCAGCTCAGGGCACAAGGCGGGACCACCCTGGACAGGACGCCCTTTCACGCAGGGACACTCACACCCACACCCACTCACACTGGGACGCCATTCACTCACGTGCACATCTCTGTGATGTGGGAGGAGACCGGAGTCCCGGAAAAAACCCACGCAGACCTGGGGAAACCGTGCACACTGCACAGACAGGGGTCCCCGGCCGGGAACCGATTTTTATATTCTCATCAATGTCAAAATGAAACCACGCTGAACGAAACGACCTGATGGAGGACCTGATGTATGTGTTTCAAGGCACAAGGTGGAACCCTTTGGCGCGAAGGCAGTGGTTAACATTTGGCGCCATCTAGTGGCCAGTTGATAGTTTCTGTTTCGGGACCTCCAACTGGAAATGGCTTTGATGTTTAAAGAGAGATTTCGTGTTTTCTTCTCATGAACAGAATTCGGAGAGATAATTATGTGAGCTCCAGTCTAGATCACCACTATTAATGTCTCACCCTGAAAAGCTCATGGCAAAGCTTCCAGCCTTTCTCTGAGGAGCAACAAAAATGTTTGTGTAAGAGAGTGGAAGGAGGCAATTTTTTGAAATTAAAATATGGTGTGTGGGCCAGTGGAGTGGCTCAGTTGGTTAACAGCTCGCTCAAGAGTGCGAGCTCTGAGCAACAGGGTCGCTGGTTCGATTCCCAACCTGAGCTGAGTTGCTGCTGAGCCGCCAACAGGTGGCAGGATGGCTCAGCTAAGAAAAAAAAAAGTGGTGTGTGTGTGTTTCACTGCTAAAATCCCAAACATGAAGAAAGACTGGCAGGTAAATCCGCAAATTTTGAATAATCTGAGTCTTAAGATGGAGCGTTAGGGGTGAGTGTGTCCAGTCTCCTTAGGATCTTGCCTGGGATCTCAAGGGGTGGTGGCCATAAAGCGGGGGACGGGGGGTGCCCAGAGGGGCTGTTGATCCTCACGTACACTGAAGGTAGAGGGAGGTGGGTCAGAAACAAACTTGCGGTGGGGGGTGTGGGGGTGTGGGGGGGAGTGGGTGGACGGTGGGGGCATGAACGGGCACAATGGCTCTGGCTGGCTTAGGAACTGAGTTTCATTCCATCTGAACTGAGCCAGGGCTCTGTCAGTTAGGACTCTGCCCATGTGGCCAGCTGACCAGGTGGTGGGAAGCTTGGTCTGGCCACCTTGCCACAAATGGGGTCGTTATATTTGGTGCTGACTCACAGGTTCCTGAGCTGGGCCTGCCAGCCCCTCCATCACCTGGTCCTACCGCTTCTCCCCCGCACCTGCAACCCTGAAGTAAAGCCCCGCCCCCAGCATCCTATTCGCCCCTGCGATTGCTCCTGCTTCCCTTCTAAACCTGCCTGGAAACGCCCACTCCTCTTTTCAGACCCAGATCCACGTTACCTCTTTTCTGCCACCCCCAGCGAGAGGAGGTGTCCGCTTCCTTGTCCCTCTTTTGTTCCACCGCTGCCAACTTTGGGGCATTACTTCTTTTTAAGCCTCAGTTTCCTCATCTGGAAAATAGGGGTAGGGGTGGGACAGTTGGACGAGGTTCCATCTGTCATAGTTTGGTTCTAAATTCTTTCACTCGCGGGCAGGTCCACTGGGGTCGAAGTACGTTATTAAATACAACTGAGCAGTGGACGAGTTACCGGAAACTTGCACACATTGCAAACACCCTGGACGTTCTCCGAAGTTAGCGCAGAAAAGCGTTATGTGAATGTTTTCTTAACTGACTGTGTCTCAATGAGTGTGCTGTGGTAAATCATAATGCTAATAAACTCAGGTATAGTTTAGGTTGCCAATGGATATATAATAGCCAATTTTAATTTCTAAGCTATTTCAGTGTAGTATGCTGACTAGATGCTGCCTATAAATTCAGAGCCCTTTCAGCACCTTTGCATTTCATTTAAAAACAGGGTAAGTAAATCCAACACTGCATTTCAGTCAGCATTCAATCTTGTCCAAATGAACGCAAGTAGCGGATTAAACCTGACGCGTGCATGAAGGGGCTGTTGAAGAATGAGGGGGTCTGTGTGCGCCACCTTCCGGGTGAGGCCGGGCACTTCACCAATCACCCCTGTGCCCACCACCCAGCCGTGGAGGCCCAGCCTGTCCTGCAGTTCTCACAGGGGCCTTGGCATTCGGTCATTAAGGGTATCTCTTCTAATTGCTATTTTAAAAATCTGTAAGTAAAATAATTATTTAAAAATCTCCCCTTTGAAACAGAAGACCAGGGGAGCCACCAACTTCTTTCCTTTTTGAAGGACGGCAGCAGTGAGGGGAGCTGGTCCCACAGCCAGTGAGCTCAGGGTGCAGGCCTACTGTTTCCATCACCCAAGAAGAGGGATGGGAATCTTACTGGCACCTGTGCTTAAGATACGGAGCGTGACCAATAACGTTGCTGTGCTCTGCTTTACCTCACGTGTGCATGTGAGTCCTTAGACGACAGATGTGTTTGAACGTAAATAAATATCGCATGTATTCTGTGACTTTTTTTTTGCTCAACACTATGTGTGTGGAATTTATTCATACCGACGTGCATAGCTGTAGTTTCTTCTTTTTTCCTGATGCATACTATTCTACTACATAACTATATGTCAAGTTGTGTATCTGCTGTTGGTAAATATTTCCAGATTTTTGCTGTTATAAACAGTGCTGCTGTGGACATTCTAGTAACTCTTCAACTTTAGCAGATACATCCAAATTGTCCTCACAATAGTGTTGTCAGCTGGCATTCCCGGCAGGAAATGAGTGCCTCTCGCCCCACTAACACTGGGTACAACATATCAAAACAATGCATTTTTTTTCAATCTGGTGGGTGTGCAGTGGTAACTCACTGTGAGTTTAATTTGCATGGCCTTGATTTTCATGTCTTTACTGCCCATGGGTTTGCAGCCCGCTCTATCATCGGGCTACGTGACCCTGGGACATGACTTAACTTCTGTGTGCCTCAGTTTCCTCACTTGAAAAGTTCCTCTCCAGAGAAACTAACCAGCTGAGACTCTGACACTGGGGAGTCCTCCAAGAAACTGCGGGGTCCTTACCCACAAATCACAAAACTTCAATCAGCGTTTTAGTACCCCCCTTTCTCATCCAAATTACCACGTGCTGGACACTGCACTGGCTGGGGGCTGTGACACAGAGACGGTTAAGGAAAGGCCAGTGACTGCCTGTCCATCTGCTCTCCACCATCCAAAAGGGGGTTCACATCCCTCTCCTGCTGCTCCCCTCATTCTCGTTCTGTGGCTGCATGAGATACACATGTATAATCTTTGCTATCATATATGTGGGGCTCCGGAAGGAACAGAGGTGAGTACAAATGTCCCACTCATGTGTCCAACCAGAGCCCAGAGGGATACTCCAAGGCACCAAGTGTGACTCTGTCCCTCCATGGCTTAACCCCTTCCAAGGTTCATTTTGACCTTCGGGTCAAGTTCAAGCCCCTTGGCACAGCCTGCCCAGGCCCTGCCTACATGTCCCCGCTCCTCTCCTGCCACCACCGCTCTCCCAAGATCCAGTCAGTCCAAAGCCCTCCGCCCCTGCCCATGTCCTTTCATGCTTTTGCTTGAGTCCTCCTCCCTGAGCTGGTCCCCAAGGTGTGGCTCATGAGCTGTGTCTCCCGGGGACCCAGGGAACTGTGCTGTCACCTCTTTTCTCCACAGCACTTTTTCATGGTGTGCTGTGGCCCTGTGTGGCGACCATCTGTCAGGTGCCCTCCAGGTAGGGACCCGGTCCCCTCTTGGGCAGTGCCAGGGCCCAGAGGGAGGAGATGCCAGTGCAGTGGAAGGAGAACGGGCAGACAAGGGAATTAGCAATAAAGAGAATAGCCCTGCTCGCCATCTGCGGCCTCCCAGGGAGGGCTGGGTGGCTGGTTACCTTTGCTGGAAATGTTTAGGACAGTAATCTTAAACCTTGCCACTTACCACTAGCAGTATAAACAGCATGCATGGTGGCTGGTGCGCGTGGAGCCCGGTAACGCTGTGACAGAGCGCAGGGACCTGGAAGAAGCGCCGTTTTCAGAGACAGACTGGAGCGTTGGATCCAGACACACAGGTCTGTCTGACACGGGACAGGCGGGCCCCTGGGTACCAGTGAACAGGCACCCTCCTGAGAACACACACGCAATCGAGCCGAAAGGACCAGTCAGGACAGGAAAGGCAGGTCCAGTGAGACGGTGCCAGGGCTTCTCCAGGTGGAAGGAAGTGCTTGAGCCAATAAAACAGCCACGGGCGGCTTGCCTTGGGATGGTGGCACGCAAGCCACCCAGACACAGCTGGCACCAGCACGGACAACGCTGGCTGAAGGAAGGGCTGAGAGCAGCTTTGTGGGGGCTCTCCTGAATTAGATAGAAATCCATCTAACACCACACAACACCTGCCATGTGCCGGGCCCGGTGGGGGCACAGGGCGAACGCGACCTGTCCCTGCGGGACATGCCGGCTTCCTTACACTCTCCCTGTAGCTGTCAAGTGGATGAAAACACGAGGACTGTTCTCTTCATGTGTGGAAAGGCAGCTTGGGAATCTGAACGAGGTCTGAAAGGCAGATGGAGTCAGGGTCCAGGGAGCTGCGTGACCTAAAGGACGCGCGAGCTCAATCCGACTCCCATTCCCGGGGACGGTGGTGCTTGCTATTGGCCTGGGAAACCGAGCCCAGCGCTGCTTTCCAGGCTCCGGGCAGAGCTGCGTCAGGACGCAGGCGGGTGGCACCGGAGAGGCTCAAGTTCCCGCTGGCTTCCAGGTGGGTGTCTCGGCCATGCCCCTTGAAAGTCCCTCAAGAAGGTGTCTCACTGGGGCCTGACAGGTCCCCTCTTCAGAGATCTGTCACAAAGGTTTTCCTGCAGCCCAGAACTGGACTTGGTTCTTCTTTGAGCACCGGATGGGGGGGCTAACTTGATTTTAGGGGCCACGTTGTATGAAAAGCGAGGCTCTTTGCTCACTGAGTCCCCTGAGGGCGTGGCCGATGAGGACGAGGGCTCTGGGCACAGCGGTGGGCACGATTCCTGCACTAGCCAGACGGCGCGTGTGCATGTGTGTGCGTGTGCGTGTGTGCACGCAGACCTCAGTACGCTCAACGCATCAGTGATGTGAGTCCCTGTAAGTCACAAGCTTCCCTACTCTGTACGGAAGGGCCCTGGAACCAGAAAACCTGGGTTCACACACTTGTCTTGTGAGGGTTTCTCCTCATTAGTCAAACGGAAATAACAATAGCTACTTCCTACGATTATTTGGGGATCAAATTAGATGAAGCTCAGGAAGTGGGAGTGGGTTTTGGGTTGGTAACATGCCACCCTCGGGTGGTCTGAGAGTCCCGTGTTCTCGGAAGCAGTACGGTTCTTACAACCTCTTAGGAAGGGCCATGGCTTCTCATGAAGGAAGTTGCCTCTGTGGACAAGCCACTGTCACAAGGTGGGGTTTTCCCCAAGGAACGAAGGCAGGCTGCCTGGAGCAGGAGCTGCAGCTGCTCAGGACTAGGAGAGGAAGGGACGGCCTCTGCCCTGGGGTCCAAGGAAGGGATCCTGGGCAAAGGCTGGCTCTTGGCACAGCAAGTGGCCATGGGACATGCCTTGAGGAAAGGACGGCCTGTGCCTGGGCCAACAGAGCTGTTGGGGAGAAGCAGTGTGCACGAGCACAGCTGGGAGGCGTGGAGCTGGGCGGGAAGACGGCCTGTGGAAGAGGCAGGGTCGAGTCTGGAAGGCCTGGGACTGCACACGGGGAGCGTGGCTCTCTGACAGGGATAGTGGCAGCAGGGAAGGCCATGTGGAGAGCTTGGTGGCTCGGTGGACTTGGGATTTGAGGGTGACCAGCCTGGACACAGGGAGACAGTTAGAAAGCTGCCGCAAGTTTCCCGGTGGAGCAGGGGCAGTCCGAGGACAAAGTGTCTGACATGCTCACTTACATCGCATCCCTGCAGGGCGTGAGCAGAGTCTGGCTGCTCTAGCTCCTTGTTTAGAAGCGGACCTTCCAGTCAATGACTCTTGACCTCTGAAAGCATCTGCCCACACAACTACTCAATTGCTCCTGGAAGTTTTTTGCTGTTTTCATAGCAATGGATATCAAAATTCGTTTCGGTCAAAGTAGTTCACTGGCTTTTGACTTTCAGAGCAGAAACGAGCCACCATTTAATCAAGAGCCTTTTGTTCTGTCAGCTAATATCAAGTAGGGAGCTTCTTTAAAAAGAAACCCTGATTATAGCATCATGAATAACCATGATGGAGAGGAAGCGGGGGAGCAGCCGTGGAGGCCAGCTTGCCAGCCCGTGCAGCTCGGTGTTTGAGAGGATGACAAACTACAGGTGAAGCAAAGCAGAATCAGGGATGCGTCCTGGAAAACGACACAATCCTGAAAAATACTGTCAGGAAGACTGTGCTGTGGTTTGCCAGACATTCTAAGGAAAACAAGAAGGTCTTTGAAGTTCTTCTTAGAGACAGAACAACAAAGAAGGGATAGATCCACTGCTTAGGGGGCGATACAAAGTAGAGTGACACTCGGAGGCAGAGGTACGCACCCTCCCGTACAGAAGGGCTGCTGCCGTTTCTAGGGATTTCGGCAAAGGACAGGTCATGTCTCCCGGTAAACTCAGCCCTTTAAGAGGGCCTGCGGATGGGGACTCTGGAAACTAAGGTGACACAGATGGGGCAGGGGAGCAACCAGTCATAGCACACTCATTTCCATGTGGAAGGACTTCAGCTTCAAGAACTAGAGAATTCTTAACCTTTTGGAGGTAATCGTTTCCTGTGGCTGCTGTAACAAATTATTAAAACAACAGACTTAAAACAACAGAAATTGGGCCGGCCGAGTGGTGCGATGGTTAAGAGCTGGCTTGGGACGCCAGAGGGCCCCGGTTCGGATCCCACATATGAGGGCCAGTGACACTGCCCTCTACAGCTAAGAT